GTTACGTTTTTGATGCATTAATGGTTAGTTGTTTATGTAAATATCAAGAAGATAATATATGCAGCATGTAGATCATTGACGAATAATACAAAAATATAATTTAGTTTGGATAATTACTATGCCGCTAACCTTGTACACATTTAGATACATTGAAATAACAATAAAAACCAGTGATTTATACTATCTCTAGTTGTAGTAAATAGTGTAATATATATTCGTAAATAGAAAAGTTCCATTCGATATTAAATTTTTGATGTAGAATCTAAATTATCGAAAACTTACAGCAAAAATAAAACCTTATTTCGATACAAAATTGTAAACCTATTTTATTATTACTATTGTACATTTTTTAGATTTAAATTTTAATTCGAGGCAACCAATTTTTTATTAAATAATAATACTTGAATTTATTTTTTTTTAACGTTTAAAAACTTTACTAGATAAATTATTCTTATTTGCAACGACATGACTTTATTTATAACAATATTTTGACAAACTTATTTACAACGATATTTAATATAAATTAATTATATGTAACCCAAAAACCGATAATCTATTAAAAACAAAAAAAAAAAATTAGTAAATATTAAAATAAAGTAGTTAAATATTATATTGCTTATCGCGAGAAATTCCAAGTCCCGACTCGACACTACCAAAAAGCCAGTAACAGCACTAACACTTGCCAAAAGGCCAGGAACTGGTTCTACTCACTTGCAAAGGGCCAGTAAAAACTCGAAAGCCTACTGTGACACCCTTATTCAAGCCAGCAAAACCTATACATGGGCGCCTGGTTGGTTTTGGCAAAATGTTGATCATCCAAGCTGCTGTAAGTTTCTCGTGTTGATAAGTTCCTCGTGTCCAGGCGAATTGAATGTTGCAGTCTTTTATTTGGGCGATTATTTGGTGATCTTAGTTTTCGTCAACGTTTTTTCCGTTGTTGAGACACCCATATATAGATAAAGCTGCTAATAGCGTAACTTAGACACCCTTATCAAGCTGTAATATTAATAGCCGACTAGACACTTTCTGGAGCCAGTACAGACGAACAAAGAAAATTCTCGTAATAAGCCAAGATTGCTTACTTTAAATAAGACATACCAGTACAAAGTGATAAATCACAAATGTTCCGATATATATCTATTAGGAAAGAAAAGTGCATAACTAATTCCTCTTCCGGAACTAGCAGACCTTAATAGACGTCTTAAAATAAAGTAAACAACCTTCTGTTTCCAAAGTCGTTCACAAATATAATACTAACCTTTGTTAAAAAATATATTGTTTTCAAAAGAAAAAGTGTTTCGCAAAAAAAATGTATTTCTTAAAAGCAAACTAGATAATTATTCTTTGTAAAAAAACGAAGATAGTAATTCTTAAAAAAAAAAAACGCGAAATAAAAATTTAATTTTTCATGATGTATATATATTTGAGAGGTTGTTATATAGAAAAACCAAAACAAAGCACGCACATGATTTGTGAAACACGTGCATGTGACCCGGATTTACTTATTTGTGCCGGTAATACAACCCAAAAAAGGGGTCCGTTAAAGCCAGGTGCGTTTGGTATAAACTTGGAAATGATCTACATGCTGCATATATTATCTTCTTGATATTTACATAAACAACTAACCATTAATGCATCAAAAACGTAAC